TGACTATTTCAAGATTATTTAGATGGGATAGGTTATTCTTATCGTGGACGTGGCAGAATTGGTCGGTAGTATTATGTATCTGTTTTCATGTGATTTACTATTGCGGATTGTGTTATTAGTTTTGTTTCGTTTGTATATTTTGTATAATAACATGAAAGAAAATGGTTGAATACATCAACACAGATATAATGACAATATTCTCTACACGTGACAATCTCTGACGTTATTTTTCAGTTAAAAACTATGAAAATAGCGTTTCTCTACATTCCAGTTGCTAGGTACATTCTGTATTTGTTTTTATTAGTTACGTTGTTCATTTAATTTCATTTTCGTATTTTGCTTTGATAAAGTCCACATTGGACGAAACGCGTCAGCAATTACCAGTTTTCCTATTGTCATTTTTATTCATAAATATTGTCTTCTCTACCGATTAAATCGGAGAAATTTTCATATATATATATATATATAATATGGTTGATTGATGATAGTTATCTCGAATTTAAATTTTGGAAAAAGTACCTAAAGAGTAACTTGTTATAAAATTGAACATGTAACACATGTCTGCACTAGAGGTAGTTTTGCCCAACACTGCAAAATGTTACAAAACTAAAACATTAATCTAAAAACTCAAGTCATGTTCTTAAATAGCCTCATAAGATTGAAACTTTCATATGGATGTCATGCAAGGCTCCAAACATATTCAGAAATATCTAAACTGTCAGCCATATACAATCACTATCTCAGATCAATGGTTAAACATGGCTTTGAGTGAATGAAGCTTGTAGCTCTTAATGAGGACCATTCTTCTTTGAAATTTGGGAACTGTCACTACAGAATCACAAAGAAATAATGGTACCAAATAACAGAAACCACATCATTTGAGGATTTTCAACAACTGCAACAACTGATCACATGTAACTTGAACAGAAAATAATGTCATAATGAAGATGTTGACATACAGCAAACAAAAGGTTAGAAAGGAAGTATCCCATCAATACTGGAAAGAGCAATAACAGTGGACTTGAAAAACCTACTGACAGTCACACTGGCTGCCCAGTCAATGAATGCTGAATGTTTCCTTATAAGGAAATGGCTAATATTATTATTACCATTTTTTTACCAAATGTTTCTCATCTTTCTTTAGTTGTAAAGCATTTATCATGTTGCATTGTAAGTTTCTCAAATATTTTTTATTTCTTTTTTTTTTTTTTTTCCAGGAAAGAGGTTTGCTCAAGTGGAAAAGAGTTCAAAATGTGTCCATTGTGTGATGAAAACATTGGTTGTCAGTACTGGTACCTCTCTGATGTTTGCATGTACGTTAAAATATCTTACCTCTTTGATCATCCTGGAACGGTATTCTATGCTGTCTTTGTGTCCTTCTGGGGTGAGTACCTCCTTAAAAATCTGTCTGAATCTTTTGAGCTACAAATACTGCTTCATTAGATGCTAATATAAATCTTAGGCATTACTTAAATGTATTGGTCCATTCATAACAAATAAGGAAAAATTGTAGGGTGGGGACAATAATATGTTTGTAGATTTGCATTCTTTAGACCTTCTCCAAACTGCAACATTTTTTTTATCAATTTAAAGGGGGGGGTCCTGATTATAATATCAATACAGTGCCAAATTGATCACTGATTTTTACAGAGTTATTGGACTTAACTATTTTGCATATGAAAACAGAGCAAACAGTGTATACATTTTTAATTAAAGAACAAATATGTATCTTCCTAAAATTACATATCTGTTTATGCTTTATTTAGGATATATAATTATAAGCCTCAAATGTTTGTCCATATGCTTCCGAAAAAAATACCATACAAAAAAAGTTTTTAAAAATGTTTTAAAAGGTTAAAAAAAAATTCAGAAAATTAAAAAAAAATATGCAGATATCAATGATGTTAGCACATTTTCAAACTTGACATTTATAAATAACAGCTAAATGATTTATCCTAAGGCCAATAACTGTTGTAGGAATGTTATGAATTATCATTTGTGACACTGAGGCAGTGAAGTGGTTAAACATTAGATGTAAGTAGAGAAAGGGAGTTAACCCAAAATTAAATATAGGCAGAAAAAAAATAAAGAGTAGAGATATTTTCCTTGGTGAAAATGGGACGTCTGGATTTTTTCTCTCCTGAAAGTTTATTTTTCTCATCTATTGAGAGTCTGTCATGCAGACAAAAACAGATTTGGAGAAATGGCTTTATCTCTTTCTTAAGAAATTAGGGAAACTTATATATTTTTTGTTAATGAAAACAGAGAAAAAAAACCTTTTTCTTAGGGTTGAAGTTATGAAAATCAATCGTGTCATACTAAGAAAGTGATCGGGTTTGAGTTTTCGACTAGATGCCAACACAGAACATAGCTCAGGGCAAGACAGAAGGATTAATGAACAAAACGATGGACAGACCAAGAGAAAGAAGGGAGATTTTTTTCTTTTCCAAAAGAGAAAAGCTTCTCTAAAACCAGAAAAATTACTACTTAAGGAAAGGCGATATTACCACAAGAAGCCATGTAGTGATCTGTAAGCTGATGGCTGATTAATGACCCAGCTCCAGAGTACTGGTTATAAAAACACAATATAAATAGGGCGGATAAGATTTGATCTGTAACCAAATCTTGAGAATAGAGTTTCTTTTTGGTTGGAGTACAATGACCATGGCAGGTTTGGGGGAATGGCTGGCCAGAGGAACCACCTGGTAAATTTCTGATTTTTAAGCAAAACCAGACTGAGAAAATTTTACATAAGTGAAATTTGAAATGATAATTTTAATTAATGACCATAAGTTAAGCCATGCCATACGATCAGGAGCTAGATTGGTTGAAGAGTAGCCAAGGTGGCAGGTGCAGGTGAAATACCGAGAAAGGAATTACCCACACCCATTTGGAAGTGTTGGTGTTAGATACCAATAAAAGGAGGAGGAAGTTATCAGGGTAAATTAATACCCATGACTGCTACCCATAGGAAAAGGGGATCTCTCCGATTTCGGAGATGTAATTAATTTTCCAGAGCCAGAAAACAAATGGGGTCTTGATGGAAGATAGGGGAAACACTGAGTCACCTAACTGCATCATGCCCCATGCCAATTTTAGGTGAATGTCAATAAATGCAAGGAATCAAAGTGGTTGAGACAGTTTTTACTGACGCTGAGACAAGAGATGACCGTGTTGCCTGATATCACGTGACTGCCTGCCTGAAGGGAACTTCCAACATAAGCCTTATGCCAAACTTAACTAAACCAGCTGAAGTGTCACATTCAACTTAAGAAGTGGGTTGAATTGGGTCAAGTCAATAATTTTCTGCATGAAGAACTGATAACTCTAATGTCAAAACGAACCAAGCACTGTACAAAAGAACATATATAAAAGAATTTATTTTTTTATTCAAGTTATTTTTTTTTTCTCACTTGCATCTTCATTCTGCCTGAACCAACGCAATACAATGATTCATAACAACGATTTGATCTTTGCCAGACTTAGGTTCAAAACTTAACACAATGTGGGATAGGGCACGTATTGCACGAATTTCCTACGGTTTGAAGCAATCAACTCATCGATCAGCTGTGGACATTCAAACTGCCAGCCAAGGAGGTGACAAAAGTGTCGTCCTAAGACCCTGAGGACTGAACCACTAAACATGGTTACACCACCAGGTGTAGGTGGCATTCAGAAATGTCTAAACTGTTATCTGTATACAACTGTTATCTCAGATCAAAAATTAAAAATTTAATAATTGAAAAATTAAAAAATTAAAAGAAAATGGTTAAAAATAGATTTCCTTTTCCACAATTGTTTGTATAATTATTTGATGTTAATTTCTATATTCATTTGTATTGAATTTTTTTTATTATTATTATTGGCAGCTGTAACGTTTTTGGAGTACTGGAAGCGGAAAAATGCAAGGTTGGCACATCACTGGGATGTTTTGGGATTTGAAGAGGAACAGGTTTGTATCAAATTGAATATAAATTTTATTTTAATTATATTTAAAATAGAACAATCCTTGACTCTCAGTTTCATAAGTGGAGAAGGATAGAAAGAAAAGACTGTGTTTGTCAGTCTTCTCATTAGATTTCTGGTTTGATCTTCATTATTGATACCAGAGGATCTCTCTAAGTCTGACAAACTGATGAGAAATATCTTAGCATGATTTCAGCTCAATAAATTTGTACAGATAGCTTTTGAAAAATTTCAAAATCTCCCAGTCAAGTCAATGTGATATGAAGATTTATTTCATTAATCTATTATGAGAAAAGATGTAAATAGTAGCAAAGATGTTCCAAGTGTAACTAAACTATACTTTGACAGGTCTTGTCAGGTTAAGACTTTCATATGGATATCATACATATTTTTTTTTAATCGAGTTCACCCCAAACAAGGTAGTAAAGCCACGACACAAGGGTTTACAGTATGTGGAAGAATTAGAAAAAAGAATCATTACTAAGGAGCAAGAAAAAAAGATGAGTAATCAGGAGGACAGTAGATAGTGATTGACATTGCATTTAAATTTTTGAAGATTAAAGTTGGCTGGAAAGCATGCAGCCAGAAGCGAGAAGTGTGAGAAAAGAAACTGTTAGCATAGAACCTATGGTTACATCTAGCCAATTCAACTGTGAATTGATGAGACCTTGTTCACAATCTAGTACTGTGCTCAAATTCATAAAGTGTGGGTACCATAAAGAAGAACTCATCCAGACAGTTGCTATGAAAGTATTTATAGAAAAGGTACAGGGAAGCTAAATTATGGCAGTGGGAAAGTGACTGAAGCCAAGATACCAAAACAGGACTAATAATATTGCTGATTTTTATTTGGATTTTATCAAGGATCTCTAGATATATAGAAGGAGCACCAGACTACATGTGGAAGCAATATTCTAAGCATAAATGAATGGTAGACTTATAGATATGTAAGATAGATTCTGGAGAGAAAAATTGTCTAGCATGACACAGTGAACCGACTTTCTTAGCAGCAGACCTAGCAATTAATTCAATATAATCTTTTCACTTCATGTCTGCTGAGAACATTAGCCTGAGAAAGCGTAACAAATCACTCTCCTTGGGGTTAGCATCAGCCATGCTGATGGAAAGCAGAAAATGGTCTCACAGATGATTAATAGTGAGCAGTTTAGTTTTAGTGCCAAAATTGTTCAGAAATGGCAAAACTGTCAGCTGTATACAAACTGCTTTCACAAATCAATTGTGTTAAAAATGGCTTTGAGTGAATGAGGACTGTATCTCTTAGCAAGGAGCATCCTTCTTCACATCTTATGGATTGGTGCTACTGGATTGCAAACAAATAATTGTGCCAAAAAAAACAAAAACTACATTATCTGATGACTACCAACAACAGCAACACCTAAAATGGATATCACATGCAACTCAAAGAGAAAATACTGACATAATCAAAATGTTGACATTCTGCACTATTTAAAAAAAAAAAGGTTAGGAAGGAAAGCCCCATCAATACTAGGAAGTGCGATAACACTTACTGGACTTGAGAAACCTATTTTCTTGAAAAACTGTTTTAAGATAAATGTTTTATAAATTTCAACAGTGGCACTGGTTGCTCTGTTAATAAATGCCAAATATTTCCTTATAAGGAAATGGGTAATATTACCATTACATTACAAAAATTTATATAAAATTTATTGACTTGAAATTATAATTTTTTTTTTAAATTTATTTATTTTTAATTGTTTCACCCCAAGTAAGTTGATAATGTCACTAAGATGCAAGGGGCTACTGAAAGTGAAAGAAGATAAGAAAACATTAGTGAGGAGAAATAAAAGAACAGAATTCAAGAAGAGAAGATTGCGATTTGTGTTGCATTTAAACTTTTGAAGATTGTAAATGATAAGAAAGCAAGAAGCCAGAAGAGAGTTCCACAAGTAAGAATTGCAAGAAAAGAAACAATTAAAATAGAACTTATGGTTACATTTAGCTATTTCAACAGTAAAATGATGAGACCTAGTTGCCAATCTAGTGCTACCTTTAAAATCATGCAGTATAGGTACCAAGGAGAAAAGCTCATCATAACAATTATCATGAAAATATTTATAGAAAAAAAAAAAAGGAAAATTACATCACTGGAATAAAAAAGTAACTGAAGTCAAGATGCCAGGTCAGGATCATTAACATTACAAATACTTATTTGGAGTTTATTAAGTATCTCAAGACCAGACCAGACCAGACATGGTAACAATATTCAAGTGACAGACAAATGGTAGATTTCTAAGCATGCAAGCTGGATTCTGGCAAGAAAAAATTGTCTAGCATCAGTGAACCAACTTTCCTAGCAGCAGATCTAGTAATTGATTCAATATAATCATGGTTTGTTTCAGATTCAATATAATCATTCCATTTCATGCCATTGGAAAACATGAGACTGAGAAGGTGCAATGTTGCTCTCCTGGATTAAACATGCTGATAGCAGACAAAAACGGTTCTCTAAGACTAAAAAACAGCAGTTTCATTTTGGAGGTGTTAAAGTTTATAAACCAGTTTTACTTGATCAGATTTATTAAGACAGGGGTAATCATTGTCATCAGCATAAATACCGAGTTGGAAACTGATGACATCAAAAAGGTCATTGATTTTAAATAAAATGTTTGTATGCTGGCTGATTTCAATAGCTGTGATTATATAATGAGGGGCTGATTAAATGATATCACAAGACTCAAATCTTTGTTATATAACATTTTATTTGCTCAAAAATTTCATCAGTTACTCTCAGCCAATCTTTGGTATATGTGCAGCCCTGGATGCCTATCATTTAATACACAGACTTTACATCCTCTGTCTGCAATGCATGAGAGATTTCCTGAGGTTATTGTTTCTATATTCATCTAACATTTTCACTCTCACACTTGCAATACCAGAAGTAAATGTGGGAGGGGGTCACATACTTCTGAATTTAATGACTGGAATGGACCCCAAGTCAAACCTCTGATGTGCCTGGTTTCTTTGATGTTTGGAATGAATTTGAGGCCAAGCCTATTCCACAATTATAATAAAAAGCCTCCTTTAAATTTTAAATAATTAGATTACCTGAATGAATGCCAATATGCAAATTCAGCATTGTATGAATGTTTAATATTTTCTTTTTGTAATAGTTGTTTAATGTTATAAACACATGCATGGTTGCATGAGAGAACAAATGAAACAAGAAATACTGCTGGTGAAGCAAAGAGAAGACAAGAATTGTTACTACAAAATTCTTTGTATTGCTGATATAGAGGATAAAGGTGGAATCACTCCTTGTGGATGAGTGAGCAGCCTGGAATTGATATATTGCATTGGGTTGGTTGACCAAGGTCAATGGTGGTGATGTTGATGGCTTGCCCCTCATCTGCTGACTGCTACAGTGTTGTGAGTGGTGTTCTTAAAAGCAGATGGGGTGGATCCTGACTCTTTGTTTGCCATGCCTTTTGCTTTAGTAGCAATGTTTGTAATTGGCTCCTTTTATAGTATACTTTATATTTTTTGAGAGGATTTGTTTTGTGAAGCAGTTGTGATGGCCCGAATCTCCTGTGCAAAGAGCAACTTCTTTATTTTTATTTTTGCCTTCTTAATGTTCACATCCGGCCATCATGTAGAGTGAATCAGAAAGAGGTCTAATTTGAAACAGAGTATAACATTAATGAAAATAAGAAGTCTTACATGATAGATTATATTTTTTTCCTTTTTTTATCTTTTTTATTTAATTTAATATATTTTTTTTTAAATCCAGGAGCGTCCAAGGCCTGAATATGCAGCAAAAGCCAAAATGATGGAGAAGAATCCTATAACTGGCATCAAAGAACCCTACTTTCCCCCCAAAGAACGGTTACCAAGGATTCTGTCAGGCATGGCCATTATCATAATAATGGTAAGTCAAGAGAAAAAAATATTTAAGATTTTTATAAACAAGATTTAGAGGAGTCACAGTGAAGTAATGGATGGTGCCTCGAATTGAGGAATTGGAGAGCCAAGTTTGAATTCCTGTTGAATCCATTATATTCACTTACGTGCTAATACCCTTGGGAAAGGTATGAATCCTCTTCTCCCTCCAGCTATGGTTAAATAGCAGGACAGAATGGGTTCTATAGCCTTGGATGGCATCTGGTATACTGCAGAAAGAAACGGCAACCTACTGCAAGGAAAAAATCTGCCTCGTCAATCATGTATCGAACGATACATCATCACCTAAGTGTGTATCATGCATGGCACATAACTGACTGATAAACAAGATTATATTATTTTAATGTTATTTGGTGTCAAGTTTTTTTTTTTTTCTTTACAGTACGGTTAACTCTGTACAAGGCTCAAGGGCCACTCAAGGTAGAGGGTTATGTTAAGGCGTAGTTTATATGGATAGGGGTGGAAGATAATGGTTAACTCTAGACTGGAACTGGTTAAGATTGTAGAGATTGGAGGGAAACATCCTCTTGGATGTCTATTCTACAGAGCATTGGTTTGCAGGAAGAAGCTGTTAATATTTGCACATTTAAAATGCAGTCATCGTCAGTTATTGTATATTTAAAATAGTTTGGTCAGTCAATCAATTTGTGCTTCTGATAACCAAATCAGATGATGGAAACATTGAGTTTGAAATAGTTTAAATCTGTTTTCAGAACATTAAGGAAATCAAATAATTTTTGCTTAAATGTATTATTTCAATGTGCTGCTATCATATCTTCTCTTTCCAGCCTTGATAGATTTCAAAAGCATCTATGCAACCTTGTGGGAGATGGATTGTTTTCTAATCTACAAACTATTTCCTAGGGACAAAACATCACAAGCCTCTCGCTACTCAATCATTATTTCCATGGAAAATGTTCTGACAAGCTACATACATTTGTTCTAGAGATTTCAGCCTTCACAATTAAAACACATCATGTTCGATACACTTGGATAAATCAACCCCAATCCCTTTATATACTCCATCAATAAGAAGGAAGTTTCATTCAAGAAGATTTTTTTCCGGATACTACAAACTAAACAATCGATTTTGAATGTGATTTCTTGTCAACGGTACAATGTTACCTGAAGTAATAATTAAAGATGTGGTTTCCCCAGCATGTAAGTATTGCCAGATTGTAAAATGCTGATTTCACCAGACAGTGGATGCCTTGAAAATGTGGGCAAAGTATTTTTTCTTATACTGATCATCTTTAAAGAAAGTTATCATTATTTTTAAAACATATTAAAAATGGAAGATAAAAGATGAACTGCCCACAAGTACCCTTAGGAAAGGTATTAATCCACCTCTTCTTTCTTCCCAAGCTATGGGTTAATTAGTAGAACTTGTATCATTAAAATCATTATTATCGAAAAAAAATTATTACAATCGAAAAAATGTTTTGGGGCTTTAAATAACCTGCAAATGATTGATGAACCATAAAAAAAAAAATAACTCCAAATACAAATCTTACTATAGTTTAAATAAAATATCACTATAGATGTAAATGTTCTGAAAGCAAAGGAAATATTTGTTGCAGATTACTTCCACAATGCAGAGAACAAATTACTGTAAGTTCAGACTCAAATATCAGGGGCAGAAAGAAATGCCAAAAACTTGATTCACAGGTACTATCTCACAAATCACAATGCACGTAACCAGTTAGAAAAATAATTTGCACTTCGACGAAGGCAGTCGCCAAAATACACTTTTTTTTTTTTTTTTTTTTTTTTTTTCAAATATGAGAACACCAACTGCTTTTATCGGCCGAGCATTTTTTCCATTCGTCAACAGCTGGGAGAGGACACCCAATTTTTGCATATCAAACTACTTTTATAGCGACTCCTGTGATGGACTTGTTTTTTGATTTAAATATTCCATCTTCAGCATGTCATGCAAATATATGCCCTTTTTTTTTTTTTTTTTGGTAAGTAATTTTCTTTTTTGACACATTTCGCCGTTTTTTTCGCTATAATAGGTTAAATGACTTATAGCTGGAGGGAAAAGAGGCAGATTTATATGTTTCTCAACAGTATTTGTGTATAAATGAATGTAGCAAACTCAACTGGAATTCAAACTCAGCTCTCAGATGTTTTCCTTTCTGAGCTGCTATCAATTTGACATTTGAATAAAACAATTGTCTGTCTGCAAAATGATTTGGTATTTCAACATTTATTTCAGTTTGGTATATCAGGTACAAAAATGAGTCATTTTTTTTTTTTTCTTTTTCCTTTAAAACTATTTTGTATTTACATTATTTACATGTGGATTATTGTCCTAATCTTTGTTGTTGTTATCAAAAGTTTTCAGTTATTGTGCCCTCTGGCCTTCTATCATGTGCTTGTGGATCCATAAATTTCAAACTGAACCCATTATTTAATCTATAGGAGTAGATTGTTCTTATTCCACTGCTCATGTCTAGTTCTTTAGTACTGTTCAGTTATTGCTCACCTCATTTCCACTGAATCTACACACTGCCTCACCCAAGGATTGAAACCACAATTACTATGTTATCATAATTCACAAACCAATGGTTTATTTCACTAGACTATTTTCCTATAGTACAATTCTGAGAAGAGTGGATTAAAGTGTTAGCATGTTAATTTAGTGACAAAGTAATTGTAAGTTCAGTCCCTGGTCTGGACAGTATTTACTTGCACTTAATGGAAACAGGGTGAACAATAACTGACCAGTACTAAATAAGAACTAGATATGATATCCTAGAATGAGAACACTCAACCTCCGTAGATTAAAAGGATTCAATCCAAAATTCCCTGAAGTTTACCTGGATTGACAAGCTGAAATGTTATGATAATGATGACAAAGATGAAGACATTAGTCCTTATATAAAAAAAAAAAAAAAAATAACACCCCATCTCAGAAATTCAGACAGAAACTGACTATTTTGTTTATTATTTTGGCTTCATTCTGACTCTGCTACTAACTTCAAAGAAATAATTGATTTTCTTCTCAAAGAGTTGGTCTTAATTCGGTCTAGCATACATAATTCTAAGCCTTGATTCCTGATTCTCTTTATCTTAATTCTTTCAGATTGTCCTTGTTTTGATCTTCATCATGGCTGTCATCATATACCGAGCATTAATCAGTATCCCATTGTTCCAAAACAAGAATCTGAGGTCAAACGCTGCTTTGATTGCTAGCATTTCAGCAGCAATGGTCAACCTGATGTTTATCATGGCTCTTGGCAAAATCTATGAAAAGTTAGCTCTAAAACTCACTCAATGGGGTAAGTGAGTTGTCATGTGCATGCAAGATGAAAGATGGTCATTTTTTTTTTATTAACACAAGGTGATGATGTGTCTGAGTTTTATTTATGCAATGAATTATAATGTCTTATTTAACCGATGATAAAGATTTTAACTGTTCCCTTAAGATTGCATAGAATAGCAATTATCCATATGAAAAGTGGAATCGGTGAGCAGAGATCAAGTTCTGACAGTCTGTTGCATTTTCTTCATACCAATCTCTTTAGGAAATCATGAATCCGTTTCCTCTACTCCTGTCAGCTATGGATTAAATAAGCAGAACAGACTCGGCTCTCGAGCCTTGGATGACAACTAGTAGAGAAGAACTATTTTGGATTCAAAACTGAAGAAGCAAACTACTCCATTATCTTTCCCAAGAAGTCATGGCAGTTCACAGATAATAAATAAAAGGAATCTTGGAAAAGGACTACTCTGAATTCAAAACCATGAAGAAGGCAACGGGAAACCACTTCACTATCTTTCCCAAGAAGTCATGGCAGTTCACAGATAATAAAGAAAGGGAATCTTAGAAAAGGACTACTCTGAATTCAAGACTGCAGAGAAGGCAACAAGAAACCACTTCACCATCTTTCCCAAGAAGCCATAACAGAAAAGGCCTCTGTGGAGAAACATGAAAAGTTAAGTTGTCGAAAGGATATGACATTTAAAAAAAAAAAAGAAAGACCCCCTTCAGGATGTAAGTGTTTAGGGTCCTTCCTACCTTCCTTGTCTTTAATATCTTTAAACTATGCATTGCCAAAAACTATTCAACATTAATACTCAATATGATTTTTATTAAGTCCCTTGGCAAAAGTTATGAAATGTTAGCTTTAAAACTTAGTGGATGAATGAATTGTCATGTGGGTAAAAGATAGAAGATTTATAAATACAAAGTGAAGAAGTGTTTAATTTTTAATTATGCAATGAATTAGTAATGGCTGGCCACTCGTATCCGAGTATGCCTGCCTACTAGGGTGGCAAGTCAATCTCTGTTGCAGGCACCTGCTCAGGCACATCTGTGTTTGTTCAGCACCCAAAGAGCCTACCTATGGTTCATACTGCAACTATACTGAGCTGACCTTAATTACAGTTTCTGAAAGACAGTGGATTATCTAGCATGATCAACAGTCTGAACAAGGCCACTACACTCAAACATGTGGTCATGATGACTTGCGACTTCGTGCTAGCACAACCATTGATGGCTCCCAAATAGTTCCGTCTACCTAATTTCACTTGCAAGCCTTAGTTCAACCTGTGATATGGTTTTCAGGCATTTTCCAAAGATGCCAAATGCTTGAATTGTCTACTCAGACCGATAATATCATGAAGTCACATTCCTAACAAATCAACCATGGTGAGATTCAAACTCGGCCCCAATGTCCATTGCAATGAATTAAAAGGACTTATTTACCATATGAGAAAGGTTTTAATTATTCACTCACCCTTAAGTGCCATGCCCCCTTCAGTATGTAAGTAGTTACAGTTTTGCCTAGGTTCTTTGTCTTTATTCTCAAGGCTGTGCATAACCAAAAACTATTCATGACAAAAATAGTGGAGTGGTTTTCCATTCCTTTCTCCATGGTTTTGAATTCAGAGTTGTCCTTGACTGGTTAGCAACTAAGGCTAGAGAAGTGGTTCTCAACTGGGGTCCATGTAACATTACTAAGGGTCCAAAAAATAGCAAACTGAGGGTCCACAGTAACATTTTAGTGGTCCATAGAGCAATTTCACTTCAGAACAGTCATTACAACTGAGAATTAGAATTTCTACAGTAATTTACACCATATTAAAATACTAAAAATAAAAAAAACAACTCTAAAACTAGCAAAAAACAAGATCAAGTGATATAAATTAGTGCCCCTTTTACTCTAGCAGATGTTTTGATTATAAAAGTTGAATAAAACTGAGAAGGATATATAAAGAAAGGATTATATATATATATATTGTGTGTGTGTAAGGAAAATAATATAAAGATTATATAAATTAATTATAATATATTAATAATAAATAATAATTTAAAAAATTAATAAAATATTAATATATAAATTAATTAATATAAAAAAAAATAAAATATTAATAATAAAATCAATTTAATATGTAAATATATAAGGATTATTTATAAAGGAAGCATATACATTTACTATTTCTATAACCCAATTCTTAAACTTATCTATTAGTAAAAAATAAGATTTTTTTTTTCATCGAATAGTTATGGGGGTCCACCAAAAAAATTAATAGTAAAAGTGGTCCATGGGTAAAAAAAAAGGTTGAGAATCACTGGACTAGAGAGTCAGTCTTTGCTATTTTGCTCAAACTTCTATCAGAAGTGGTGGATTTATGCCTTTCCCAAGAGTTTTAGTGTAAAGTGAATACAAATTGTACCAGCTGTAATTTGAACTTGGCCTGCCAAGTTCCATTTTTCATACTGTTAATTGTTAGGTCCTTAATGGTTTTGTAAACATTTCTTTTTTTCTTTTTTTTTTTTTTCAAACCCTGACACTTATTTTGTAATGTTTATTTTTACTATTATCTATAGCTGATCATTTTCTTTTCTTTTTTCATTTTTTTTTTTTTTTTTAAATCATTTCAAGCAAGGCAATAAAGCCAGTAAAATACAAGGGGTGTGTACAGAGTGTTAAAGAATATGGGCAAAAAGAAAAATATTATTAAGGAAAGAGAATAATAAAAGAACAAGAATTAAGATGATGGAAGATGACAATTGACATTGCATTTAAATTTTTGAAGATCAAAGATTACTGGGAAGCTTGAAGCCAGAAGAGAGTTCCATATATGAAAAATAATGAATCATTGCTGCTTAAAGTCTAGGCATAAAAGAAAGTTTGTAACCATTTATACAATTGTTTTTACACTAACAATAATAGATCTTAGAAATATTTGATTATTTTCTATTTAATATATATATATTAGTACCACTTGAAAGTTTGTGATCTCCCCACCCCAGGCATGGTCATTGTTATAATATGAAAAAGATTTAAAATAAGCCATACATCCAAGCACCAATTTATGAAGTAGATTTTCCTAATAAGGAACACACAAAAAAAAAAAAAAAATGGATACCTAACAAGTCATAGTGAAGTGTTTCTTTATTTAGAGATAAAAAAAAAATGTCACAAATGACATTATTGCTATTTTCAAGTTTGCAAACTGCATTTGTTGGTGTTTTTCTGTATGAAAGACAACAATAACAACTTAGGAAACCTGGTTGACAGTTGTTTATTCCAAGTTTGTATATTCAAAAATGCATATATCGTGTCCACGTCTCACAATGAGCTCTTTTTTTTTTTTTTTTTTTTTATTTTTATTTCGCACCACATCAGAATCTCATTCAGTATCAAGTCCTATATCAAGGGGCGTAACTCGTGGTTACTAGCTCAGGTGCACATGCTACATTAGGTATTTATAAATACTATATTAAAAACTGATACAAAATATATCAGTAGAAAAGCTTTTCCAGTCTATTTCAAATGTTATTTGTCTTGGAAAATATAAATATATACAAAAAAAGTGATTTGGGGAATAAAAAGATACAAAGCAAATTATCCATAAGAGTCTGAAATACAGCATTTTTTTTTTTTTTAATGACTTATAATATAAGACATTTTATGCTTATAAATTTTGTTGTCAATATTAAATTGGTATCAAATTAGAAGTTTTTTTTTTTTTTTTTAAATCAACTGATTCACTAACATTTTGTTCATTTTTTTTTTTTTTTTCAAGAAATGCATCGGACTCAAACAGAATTTGAAGATCAGCTCATTTTTAAAGTGTTCCTCTTTCAGTTTGTCAACTTTTATTCATCCATTTTCTACATTGCTTTTTTCAAAGGCAGGTATGTATGCATCCACCAGAGAAGTTTATATTAAGATTCTGTTCATTAAATAAAATATATAATGCTACTGAAGAAATATTTATGTAATTCATATACACTGCTGTTTTCCATTTTATAAAAATTGGTTTTGGTGCATTTTGGGGTTTTTTCTTTAGTCATTTTTATCTCCTCTTTATTGGATAAAATGTTAAGTCATTTGTAGCATCAAACTTAGCAATGCTTTTTGACTGATGTTAGTCATTTGTCATTTACTAAATAATGAAGCATATCATTATAACAATTTTGCTCAGGTATTACAGGAGTTCTGAAATAATGTTATAAAAAGTTGAAGGATTGAAATCAATAATTTCTTTATTGTTGCTAGACAATATTTCTTCTTTCTCTCAACTTTGAAACATAGTCTAATGTTCTAATCATGGATGTGTGGGTGGTGCAGTGTTTAGCAGATTGAAATGAGAAATCGACAAGCCAAGTTTGAATTCCTGTCAAGTTACATTTACTTTTGGAAAAGAAATATTGCAAGCAAATCACCAATCTTAATGCAGCTATTCAAGAAAAACAACCAATTTTAGCAAATAGAAAAGGTGTTATTTTCCACCATGGCAATGCAAGACCACATGTTGCAAAACAGACCTTGTGAAAGCTTGAAGAATTGAAATTGGAAATCCTCCACTCAGCCACCATATTTTCCTGATTTAGCTCTTTCAGATTTTCATTTGTTCTGGCCTATATAGAATAATTTAATTGACAAATAATTTGATACTGTACATTCAATCAAAAACTACCTTCCAACAAAAAACACAATTTCTAAAAAAATGAAATCAACAATCTTGTGGAATGATGAGACAGTTGTTAAAAACAATAAAGACTATATACTTGAGTAATATTTTATTTTTTGTGAGTATATAAAATTTTGTTTTTAATTTTCTAATTGGGCACAAACTTTTTCAATGATCTAATATTTATCTGATTATATATATATTATACATAAAAAGACAATCTCTGATAAAAACTGAAGAACTGAGCTACAAAAAAATAGAAAATGACTTCTATTTTCTCAACATTTAAAACAATTTTTAATGCCATATTCCTTCAGGATATATAGGCAGTCATGGCTCTCCAGTTTTCCTGCCTTTAATATCCCTGAATATCATTCTTGGGGAAAGATAGTGGATTAGTTTCCTGTTGTCTTCTTTATGGCATGGAATTCAGTTGTGCTTTTCCCAGACTGGCTACCAACCAAGGCTATTTAATCCATAGCCAGGAGGAGAACAAATGGATTCATGCTTTTTCCAAGGGCATTAGTGCAAAAGTGAACATATGAATCAGGCAGAATTTGAACTTGGCTTGCCAATTCCATTTCCAGTGCTGATAACAATTATGCTACCCACACATTCCCTCCTTTTTTCTTCTTTTTTTTTCTTTTTTTTTATACTCTTTTCATACCAATTTTTAACTTTCACTTTACTATTCTCTGATGTTTCTTGTTTGCAGGTTTGTTGGCTACCCAGGAAATTACAAAAAATTCTTTGGACTAAGAAATGAAGAGGTAAGATTCTGCCTCAGACTCTCTTTATGAAATATTTTTGTAGCCGATATATAATATGAAATGGATTAAGTCTAACAATTATTTAATATATTTTCTACTTGTACATTATTTTTAATAGATACAATTTATTTAAGTAAATAAATGCTCTTTTTTTGGGGGGGGGTAAATAAATGGTATTAATTACATTTACCAGCATGAATGTTCGAGACGTTTTGTAGAAAATACACATTCTCTGACAGGAATCAAACCTGTGTTCTATATGCAAATGTAATTTGATCTGATGTGCTATACCACTCAGCTACAGAGAGTGTCTGGTTAGCAAAGTCCAAATTACTGTTTAGAAACAGCAAATCTTTGACGATCTTTCCTGAACGATCATTTCTACTCATGAAATGTACCTTAATGTAAACATTGACAACATTATGAAATGAATTAAGTTCAATTATTTAATATATTTTCTGTTTATACATTATTTTTAATAGATATAATTTATTGAAGCAAATGCTCTGTTTTTTTTGTTTTTTTTAATAAACAATATTAATTACATTTACCAACTAGAACTGTCAGTGAATACATACTTTCTACAAAATTTCTTGAATATTCAGGCCAGTAAATGTAATTAATGCTATTTATTTAAAAGAAAAAAACCAGAGCATTTACTTAAATAGGCAATATATGAAAAAAATTTGTCAAATTAGGGGATTAGTGAAAAGACACCTTCCAAAAACCAAGCAAAGTATTAAGAAACAGGAAAATTTCATTAGAAACAGAAAAGAATGCTAAATTGCTATGTAATTTCAACCCTCCTGTATGGCAGTGTGAATGATGGACAATTTCCTTGAAAAGGAGAGTTGAAGCAACATAGATCTGGTTCTACAGCATGATGCTGGGAATACCATGAATGGAGCATGTGGGAAACAAGGAAGTTTTAAGGAAAATGGAAACAAAAATGACACTTATACATAGAATCAGAAAGAGATAATTGAAGTCTTTGGGACACATAATGAAGAAAGAGGCCTTGGAGAATTAACACTCACAGGGTAGACTGAAAGCAAGATGATCAAAGGGAAACAGCATGTAACCTAGCTAATGAGCTTGTTTAAATGAATAGCAGAACAGGGAATGGGGAAAGATAGTAAAAAAAAAAAAAAAAGCATTGCCATGAGCTACAAAGGATAGGAAGTTGTGGAGAGCCCTGATCAATCACCTCTTGAAGGGACATGTCAAATAAAAGAAGTGTCTCAATTATAATCAACAGACACATTTTTTGAAAATTGGTCATGCATATGAAAATAATTTACTTAAAATAATTCCCACTTTTGATTTTCTCTTTTTTTCTTAGGCTTGCTGAGATTAAACTAGGTTTTCAGTATTTTCTAAAGTAAACTCATATATGTATATATAAAACATTGTTCTTCAATTTGTCATAATGATAAACAAATTTCAAAGTATGAGCTAACATCAACACAAAAGAAAAGCCTCCATGTCACATGCTATCTGTGGTCAGTCTCTCCTATATTTTATAATAACTAAAAAGTATTTTCCAATATTCTGAACATTGGGACAAAAAAGTATGAAGTTTCCCCCATAGTTCAAGTTTTTGTTTTTCAAAGAAGAGAAATCAATCATTTTTACAGCCTTTACATAGTTTATGTTACAGATAGTGGACATGTGGCTGAGTAGTTTGAATGCTGGCATTCCAACCATAAGATCACAGTTCAAATCTCACTATGATCAATTTGTCAAGGAGGTGAATTTTTGATAATATTAGTATTATCATGCAGACATATGAAAATCATACCATGGGTTGACCTAAGCCTTGTTAGTGAAATTGGTTAGATATAAATAATGGTCAAAAGTCATCATGAGCAAGTGTTGGGCTGTACTAGCCTTGTTCAGATTGTGGATCAGGCTAGATTATATGCTCTCTCCCTAACTAGAATCTGCACATCATAGTTTCGGTATAAACTACAGGTTACCTCTGTGGGTTCCTGTGTAGGAACAACAGGAATTAACTAGTCCCCCCCCACAACAGGAATTAACTAGCCCCCTAGTAGACAGGCATATTTAAATACAAACAGCCAACTAAATAATATTACAGTTATGTGATTGATACCCTTTGACACAAACTCTAAAGACTTTTGCCTTTGCATACCCTATAAGCTAAAGATTTGGAGCCATGCTTTGATTTCAAAGACTTGAAGGTTGCATGCCTTTTTCAAAACTAATTCACTACCTTACTTCAGACCAGAGGGGCTTTCTCTTCCTGAAAGGTTTTATCAAATATTCAATAATAACAAAACCAATTACCGTGAAGAGTTTCCTTCAGATTTTAGATCTTTTTGCATATCTGCTGACTAATGATAATCTTAGAGCTGATTGATTTTAAATTTTAGGCAATCCACTCTCTAAAGAATTGGATGCCGTGCACTAATGAGTCAAATAGTTTCAGCATCCTAGCTTAGTAGGAGTTGATTAAATCAAAGAAGGTGTGAAAGTTACTAATTATTAAATCTGGAGGGTGACCCCAAACTTTTGTTCTATAGTATACACATCTAGAAAGTATTAACACATTGGGTTCCTCATGTGCCAACACCTTTCCAAAAGGAAACCTACAATCATTTACTCACATTAACTTTTCTTCAAGTGTCAAGAAAAGCAAGAGAACATTTTTTCCAAATTACACAGGATGAAATATAAATTCAATTTAATTCAAACAAAAGACACATATCCAAAACTCTGCTGACAAGGTGATGCTTACTTAGCCTTTTGGGAGAAAAATGGAGCAGTACTTGTGAAGAATCACCTAAAAAGTGAAGTTTGCCTGCTTTTTTCAAATCTAATTTACAACCTTACTTCAGGCCAGAGGGACTTTCTCTTCCTGAAGGGTTTTATTATATATTCAATAATAATAACCAACAACAAAAGTAACCCATTACTGCTTAAATTTTCTTTCAAATTTTAGCTCTTTTTGCCTAATCTACCTTACTGACTAATGGTAAATGTAATGTAAAATCTTAAATTTTAGGTAAAACTTCTCTCTAAAAGATTGGACCCCATTCACTAATGGGTTAAATAGTTTCAGCATCCTGGCTTAAGAGTTAATTAAACTAAAGAAGGTATGAAATTTACTAATTATTAAATCTGGGTGGCCCCAAAACATTTGGTCAGTCATGTACATACATGTGCCTCCTCAGCAATCAGTGAAGTTTGTCTGCATTTTTTTCCACCTTTTCTGCTTGCTTCCTTTTTCTAGTATTAACATCACTTCTGGTTTTTACATTGAATATTTTAGTGTAGTAATGGGGGATGCCTGATGGAACTTGCTCAACAGCTCAGTGTCATTATGATTGGAAAACAAATTATTAACAACATTCAGGAAGTTGTAGTTCCGTAAGTGATTTTTTGATTTTTATAAAATGTTTTGTTTCATTTCTTTTCTTTTTATTTTTAACTTTGTCACTTATTTGTTAATATTCAATGAATTGTTTGGATAATCTTTAGTCTTGTTGCTTCACAATGTTTCAGACATTTTATTCTCTGATCTTCAAAAGGAATTTTTACTTATTCTGATTAATTACTTGCATGGCAATGATACAAAATGAAAAAAAAAAGTTTTTTTTTTTTTTTTTTAAATACACAATTCCTTTTAATAAGTAAGATAGAATTTTGATCAGTACACAGGTCACTTAATTTTTGCACAAGAATTACTACTTAAGTTGCTTTAATATTTTATGCTTTGGTGTAAGTAGAATAGAAAGACATTTCAATGTAACTAAACTAGAACTGGTAGAATTCATTTTTTTCTTTTAAGATATTGTTGTAACCTAGAAAGGGTTACTGAATGAGGAATAACCAAAACAGAGGTTGGAAATGAAATGGTAATCTTTATAACATCAACAAAATACAATACTCACCAGCAGTGTGAAGTAGGTAAACCACTGCTAGTAGTGGACTACTTAGACAGCATATTACCCCCCACTTACAATAGTATCCAACGTATTTGAGAATTGGGACATACCCATTAGTGTTCATAGATAAGGTATATAACAGATATATTTTAAATTATTCTGATGTTTTCAAGTTAAATCTTTCATTTCTGCTTTTAGCAAATTGAAAACATACTGGCATCAATTTCAAGTAAAAATGGGCGATGATTTCAAATCCCAGTGTGATAATGATTTCTCTTTAATCCAACACGAAGGCTTATTTCAAGAATATCTGGAAATGGGTAAGTATTGTTGCATTAGGTTTGTGGTCATCATTTGTAATTGAGATGATGTTGTGAATTGATGAACAAAAAAATACAAGCGTTAAATTGTTTGAGAAAACAAACAAGAAAATGGAATAAAATGAGATAGAAAGTTTTATTATTACGTTTTTTATTATATTGGAACTCTTTTTGCATAGAGAATGCTCAAGGGTAGTTCCTGAAGGAAAATATAAATTCAAATGAATGTTCTTATGATGGTCTCTGTAAAAGAAAATAAAGAAATGGTTGAACGTACTCAGTTGGTGAGTAAAAGAGTGAATGCAATGTCTTGTCTAAGTCATGTGCATCTGTTCTTGGAATGTTGAGTTTAACATTCTACTTTAGTATGAAACAGGGCGAGCCTCATGAGATTTGCACTCTGCAGCTCTGTCTTTTTTATGCATGCCCAACAATTGAAAAGAGGTTGCTGCTGCTGATAGGGATTTCAATGCATGCATGTCTGGCAAAAAGGTATGACATTTGCTACATCATAATGTGGTGACATACTGAACCTGTTCTAAGAAAAACAATCATAATTTGCAATGACAATATTGCAATGCTACATTGTAAGTCATTTAATACAGTTTGTGCATACATCTGTCATTATCACTATATATTAAATTGACACATTTTGTGGGAAGGTAACAGGGAGGGTTATTGAAAAGCGAGAATTTGTTCTTTTAAATAAATGCATAACAAAGTAACAATAGAACGTTCTCTGCAGAAGGAGCAGCTTAAAGTAAGAATAAGTTGTGAACATATGCCAAGGTCCCTCGGGCAGTTTGTCACTGCCTGATCAGCTTCTGCCCTGAGCCACATTTTGATTCCTATTTGTATTAATGTAAACAAAACTGGGGAAATGCCCAGAGTCTGTTTAACAAAGAAACTGAAGGATAAAGCATTACACAGGGGAGAAAAAAAAATCTCAAATATGACCATTTTTAAAAATTGCATTGATGAGAAAGACAAGCCTGTTTGTTCTGATAAACATGAATAGGTGCACTGTCTGGGGATAGGTAAGTGGTACTTGGGATATCTTCGCGGATACTTCTATCTTCTCTCACAACAGACTATCAGACTAAATTTTCCTTTCAGCCAATGAGAATTCTCTCTTCATCTGTACTTCTCTCTTCTTACTCTAACCATAACTCTGATAGTGATTCTTTTATCTAGAATGCAACATGATTATATAAGCCCATGACCGGAATTCCCTACCTTTCGACCAAGTGTCACTTCATCTTGAAAGTTTTTATTTAATAATGTACACATTTTAATTTTCTCTACTTATAAACCTTTGGTAGTGGTTTTGAAATTTTCACATCTCAATTTTATGAACAACACAGCTCTAGATCCACATGAAATCATTTAGAGTCCACTTGTCAACATGTATGTCCTGCTCAATCAAGGAGTGATCTATTGTGCCAACTAATATTTGTTATGTTATTTTCTGAGACCTTCCTGGCATATACCACTATTCTGTCTAACATAAACTCTGGTCTGTAGTTTACTGCTACATTTTCTGCAACTCCTTTAGGACATCCTCTTTAGGCCATTCTCTAAAAAGGAATGCTATTCCACTTTTATGTGCTGTGTCCCTTCAGGATGTGGGAAATCATAGCCCTCCACAACTACCTGTCTTATGTAGCCTTTAGTAAAGTTTCTTTTTGCTGTCTGTTTATATTTCTGAGATGAGGTATTATGTACAGTATTTACATTAGTCGGACTATTGTCCTCATCTTTGTTGCCATATTTGTCACAACGTTTCGGCCGTTGTACGCTCCAGCAGACCCAAAGAAGGTGAGTTCAATACCTGGTTAAGGCAGTGGAGAACTTTCAGAGGGAAAATTAGCAGGAGATAACTGACATCCATCAAAACATGGCATGTGGAACTAGAACAGTCTACCCCAATGATCGAAATAAAGAGTTCAGTTCGAAATTCCAACCACCTGAAGAAGGCATTGTGACAAACATGGCGACAAAAAGATAAGGACAATAGTCCGACTAATGTAAATACTGTTTCTTTTTGCTATCTCTCCTAATCTCTGTTCTACCAACCATTTACACGCTCGGTAGGCAGGTAGGTAGGTTATGTGCTGCTTTTCTCTATCCCTCTTGCCTTCAATATGTCCTGTGAGTTTCAAATTTTCCAAGCCTTCTTTCCTCATTATGTGCCCTAGAAATTTCAAATATCTCTTTCTGATGCAAAGTATAAGTGTTCCTTTTGTTTCCATTTTCCTAAAATTTTGTTGTTGCTTACATGTTCTGTCCATGGTATCCTCAGCATCCTTCTGTAGAACCACATTTCTGTTGATTCAAGTCTCTTCTTCATCTATGAGGAAATGCTCCTGGAGTACATATATTACATATAGTCCAGTACTCTTTTCTTTGCTTTCAATGAGATTTTCTTGTTTCTTAATATATTGCTTACCTTTTCAAAGGCATCTTTCACTATCTCAATGCACCTTCAGATTTTGGTGTTGCATTTTCTATCCTCTGTTAAAGCACTTCATAGATATTTAATTTTTTGCATTTGTTTAATTTTGGTATCTCTAATTTGTAGTTCACATGTTGGATGTTTTTTTTTTCTTTTTTACTGACAACCATGCAATCTGTCTTCTTGCAAATGATATCATCATATTATTTATGTTTATGCATGCGTGCACGCATGTCGAATGCAGAGGTTTATAAGCAATGGCAAAGTTTTAGAGAAAATGGAAACAAAAAGGACATTTATATTTTTTGTTTCCATTTTCTCTAAAACTAAAAAATTCAATTACCTCTTTCTGATGTAAAGTATAAATGTCCTTTACATCAGAAAGAGGTAATTGAATTTTTTAGGGCACATAATGAGGAAAGAGGGCTTAGAAAATTTGACACTCACAGGATATATTGAAGGCAAAAGAGACAGAGGAAAACAGCACATTACCTACCTAGTGAGTTTGAGTAAATGGTTGGTAGAACTGGATTTAATAAGATAGGAAAAAAACAAAATTTACTAAGTGCTACAAAGGATAGGAAATTGTAGAAAGCCATGATCATCTGTGCCCTGAAGGGACATGGCCAGAGATGTGCAGAAATTTGGTGATGTTTGGTGATGCTCAGGGCCAACTCCTTGATTGTATGCCCCTAAGACTCAAGTGGGGGGGGGGGCTATAGGGCCTAGTACTGAGAAATGTGAGAAAGGATGACATTTTAAACATGTAAAAACAGGTGAAACATGAAATAAACACTTTATTCAAATAAAATATAAAGTAAATCTTTATTTCACTCTATGATTGACTGTCCTTTCAATATGGATGCCTGGGGTCATCACACCCTCTGCCCCACTTCTGCATGCTACTGGACATGGCACATAGAAGAAGTAACACTCTCAACCTTACAATGTGCCTCAATTTGGGCAAAGTACGAGGCTGAATATATCTTGGAATAAAATGAATTTAACTTAATTATGGGCATCATTTTATCTTCCTCAAGGTTTATGATAAATAATAAAATGTTTTCTTGGGTCAAAATGTAATGTGTAATTAGTAAACTAGTTAGAGTTAGGAAGAAAGTAGAATTACTAGTATGGATCACATAACTATTAGAATAATGCAGAATATATACTGGGAGCAAATCACCTGTGTATTTTTATTTTACTCTTTGATTGGATGCCCTCCCAATATGGATACCCAGGCAGAGGGTGCAACAGCCCCAGGCATCCATGTTAGGAGAGCATCCAATGAAAGAGTGAAATAAAAATTTAGTTTTCAAAAGCCATCACATCCTCTGTATGCTACTGGCTGAATGTTATGGTTATTTCAGCTTTTCATTATTTTCATGTCTCCTTTTCTTTTCTGTTTTTTTTTTTTTTGTTATGTCGTGTATCCACTAAGTTCTTATTCCACCACCGTTCTCGTTGGTGTCCATTTATTATATATGAGCTACCTGCTCATATGCAAATTATACTAATTTGCATATCACTACATCTCCCTATAACGGAGGGGCCTTATGCCGCGAGTACTTCTTGTACTTCTTGAACATCTTCCTTTATCTCTCTCCTTTCCCTTGGAGATCTAGATCTATCACGTCTTTCCCTATAATCGAATTGTTCCTCTTGCATACTCTGGTCTTCCTCTTCTAACTCATCTCTCTCTACTTCTTCCTCCGCAGTTTCATTCTGCATTAACTCTTCTGTTACATCAATAATGGGCATCTCTGAAGGCATTTCCTCATCAGATTCTTCTCCTTGGGATCTTATTTGGTCAGCATGAGCTAGAACACTGTTCCCATTTTCTTTATTTAATATTGCAGTATTATGTCCTTTCTGCATAATAAATTCGGCTGACTCTGGTTGCATATTCCTATTTCTTTTGTACCACATCTTTTGATTTGTGGCATATGACATAGTCAAAGGGACCTTAATTGTCTGCCCATTAAGGCAGATGGACTTTCCGGCCTGCCTGCATGTGGAATTGTTCTGTAACTTAATAGTAATCTTGGTAGGAAAGCATCGATTTCCTCCTTCTGTTGCAAGCATGCTTTTATGCCCTTCTTTACCATCTGGACCATCCTTTCCCGCTGCCCCATTACTTTGAGGGTGGTAGGGAGGGGTCTTGTAAGGTCTGCATCCTATTTTTCTTAGCCATTCATGCAAATCAGCATCCACAAATTCTGGTGCGTTATCAGTCACCAATGTTCTCGGTGTCCCATTCCTCGAAAATATTACTCTTAATATTTGTTTTACGGTGGTACTTTTTTTTTATCAGGTACTCTCACCACTTCAGGCCAACCTGAATATGCGTCTACTAATATTAATAATAGTCCTATCCCATTGACATAGGCATGGTCCATGTGTACTCTGCTCCATGGTTCTACTTCTCGGGGCCATACATGTATTTTCTTTTGCTTAAAATTCTTGAGTTATGTGCATTTTTTGCATCTTCTTACGTAGTCTTCTACGTCTCTTGAGTACCCCGGCCACCAGGCTTCCAATTTTAATCTTCTTTGCGTAGCTGCCACTCCACAATGTACGTCATCGTGTACACTTTTTATAACCTGTCTCCTCTGTGTTTCTGGGGAACTACCAAGTCTCCATTACATATTATCCCGTTTTCTATAGTCATTCTATGTCTAATTTCTTTGAATGGTCTTTCAGCCATTGAACAATTTCCCCAGCGATTCTGTTTTATCCTCGACATTATTCTATTTAACACTGGGTCATTTGTAGTTTCAGTAGCCATTTTATCTACAGATATTACATCGGTTTCTACAAGGTGCAAGAATGTGTCTTCAAATTCCTCGTCGTTTTTGTCCTCCTCTCTATAAAACCTCAATCTAGATAAAGGCATCAACGTGGTATCGTATTCCCTTTAACATATTCAATGTCAAAGTCGAACGCCATCAGTCTAATCGCCCAACGTAATATTCTGGACGTTGTAACTTTCGGTAGCTCTTTTTCTTGGGTTGAAAATAAATTCCAGTGGTCTATGATCACTTTTCAACAAGAATTTTTTCCCCATCAAAACTGTCTTGCTCTATCGTTGTCCACACTATGGCTAGTGCCTCCCTTTCTATATTCGAATAATTGTGTTCAGTTGTTGTTAATCTCCTTGATAAGTACATTATGGGATGCCCATCTTGTGACAAAATACCAGATATGGACTGCTCACTAGCGTCAGTAGTTAGAGTTATGTCCTTCTTAGGGTCAAAAATTTGTACTATTGGCTTTTTTTTGCCAGAATCTGTTTTAAGTTTTCAAAGGCTTTCTGTTGGTGTTCTAACCAAATGAATTCCACATTTTTTTTTTTCTTAACTTAGCAAATGGCTCTGTCAACTCATTATATTTTGGTACATATTTTCTATAAAATTTACCAAACCTAAGAAGGACTCAATTCTTTTTATTTTTGGTGTAGCAACTTTTAGAATTTTCTCTATTAGTACTTTATCTGGAGAGATCCTTCCTTTGATATTGAGTAACCCAAAAAATGATATTTCATTACTGTTGGTTACACACTTTTTTGTATTTATTGTCATACCAGCGTCTCTCAGCCGGTTCAGTATATTTTCAGTTTTTTCTTTAAATCATCTTCATTTATTTTTCCACAGTAATCCATTATTTTTTTTTTTTTTTTGTACCGTATATGTTTCAGCCATTATTTCTTCGTAGGATTTATTTTTTTATTTTGGTTGTAGGTATGTATTAATTCCTGCTGTTGTATAAATTCTATACATATTCAAAGGCATGTTTGTAAGTTGTAACTGTTCCATTAACTTATATCTATGTGCCGAATTATGCATACCTTCAATTAATCTTAGTTGGATTAATTCTTCTTCCGTTGTCTGCTCGCCTGTTCCTAGTTTTTCGAATTCACAGTATTTACTCGCACTTCTTAACCGGTGTAAATATTTTACTATCGGTTCATCCACTTCCTACTTCATTGCCATAAACTTGGTCCTTTCTGCAATCACCAGTCTTTTCTTTGGCCTCATGTTTCCTTAATAACCTGACTTATTTCTTCGAAAAGTCATTTCTTCTAGTTCTCGAGGGTAAACCATTGTAGCAACCTTCATAATCGCTTCACAACCAGCGGTAGCCATGAACAAGTCGGTGATTTCATTTTCCCCTCCTCTGTTTTTTGTTGTCTTTCAACTTTTTACATCTATCATTAGCAGCAAAGCAACGAATCCACGTGTCACGTACTCTGGGTCTTCAAGGACCAAAGAGCATCCTATCGGCGACGCCATTGTTATGTCGTATCCACTAAGTTCTTATTCCATTTTTATTTATTCGCACAAAAAGTACAAATTGTGGCACAAGGCCAAAAAATCTGGGTAGAGGCTGGTCAACACTAACTATCTTATACCTAGCTAATCAGATTCACGACCCATTCATACATTACAATTTACTCATTCACCACAAGAACTCATCCATCACCATTCAATCCGCCATCCACCATAATACCACATCCTCTCCAGGGGAACCTGCAAAAACGCGCCCCACGCCATAAAAATTTGATGAAGATATACAATATACCTAAAATTCTAATAGTGATATAATGAGAGGGGAGGGGGGATGAACCCAATAATAAACTAAAATCAAAACAAAATGCTAAGTTCTTATTCCACCGCCGTTCTCGTTGGTGTCCATTTATTATATATGAGCTACCTGCTCATATGCAAATTATACTAATTTGCATATCACTACATTTCTAGTCCCTTTTGGTTCTGAATTATTTCGCATTTATATTTCAGTTTTACAATTTGGATTCATAACAATTTTTGTGGCTGCTTTTCCATTGGCTCCACTATTTGCCTTGATCAATAACTGGGTTGAAATACGACTTGATGCTCAAAAGTTTGTAAAGGAGACTCGACGTCCAGTAGCTGAGAGAGCTGAAGACATCGGCGTATGGTTCAAAATCCTGGAATCTTTATCTTGTTTGGCTGTAATAAGTAATGTAAGTAAATATTTTTATTATATGTTTGTTTTTTTGTTTATTAAATGCTGCAACCATTCAGAAAAATCCTGGGTATTACATCTGGCAACAAGGACTCTCATCAGGAGGCTTTGAGGAGCATGGAAGCACTTCTCACTTGCTGTTGTTCCTAGATCTACCCTGACCTGGGTTAGGGTGGACCTGTTAGAGTCCCAGCTATGAACAAATAGTGAACCCCAAATTGGAGTCAAAAACACTGTGAAAGCATAAAAATATATTTTTAAACATTTCCAGCAATAGATTTTAATAATAAAAAAAATTACCAAAGCTCCAAAGGAAATTAAATTTTGGTATTAAATGACCCATAAGGAGTTGATATGCCATTAAACAAATCAAACCAATCCATTCAGGATATAGGTAATGATAGCTCTCCACAACCTACTTTTTTTTAATATCTGAATTTTTTTTAGGAAATGGCATATGAGGCAGGCATATTTTAAATATCTAGATAAAACAAGAAAAAAAAAGCAGACTGTCATTTAATGTAAAAAAAAAAAAAAACAAAGAAAAAAATGGTAGTTTATCAGTTGTCACTCATCAGAATTCGATTAAGGAATAAAATAGTAAATGTACATACTAACTAAAAAGATAAAGAAAAAAACTAATATAATGTTATTAGTAATCGCTTCTGTTTACACAGGGAAAACTGCCTGGACTTAATGAAAATTGTCTAAAGGACTGTAAGATGGAAAGCAGAAAAGCATACTGGTTTCCCATTGTCTTCTCCAGTTTTGAATGCAAAGTAGGCCAACTCCTAAATTGTCTGTCACCCAAGTTTAATGAGCTCCTCCTCCTCCCCTTGTTATTTAACCTATACCTGAAAGAAGATAGATTCATGTCTTTCCCCAAGGGTATTAATGTAAAAGCAAATGCAACAGACTAGACCAGGATTTGAATTTGGCTTGTTGATTCCACTCTCCATGACAGTAACCATTACACTACTTGTGCAATAGATGGTGACATAATCATGAGAAACAAACACTAAAATGTTTCAATACCAACCAGTTGACAAGTATTTCTGTTGATTAGAATCCATTTTTTGGAACAATAATTGTATAGGAAAGAAAGATAATTTGTCCTTTGAGATTCTGTGAGAATTGCAAAATAAAATCCTTACATTTGCCTTCATAAATTCCATCATAGGACGAAGCGTGTCAGCTAAGATATTGTTATATATATATATATATATATATATATATATATATATAAAACAATAACAATTATGAATCTGATAGCACATTAGGATCAGAGATGGATTCATTAGCATGTAAGTGAATGTAAGGAACTTGACTAGAATTTGAACTATTCTCTCCGATTCCCCAATCCAAGCCATTATCCATTACTCTGCCATATATATGAGTGGAAACTGAGGTCAAAACGTAGTGACAACAATTTATAAACTCTATCCTAGATATTGAGCACTTTTACCCTTAAATGTAGCATACCTTAAAATTATATATATATATATATATATATATATATATTCATACACGTTTCATTAAATAATATAGACAAATGTTGTCTATTTATTTTATGTAAATTCTTTTCATAATGTCTGATAAGTTTAATAACATTATCATTATATTCATACTTCTCCAATTCACTCTCGCGTGGTCATATGTGACGTCATGAGATGTGGTGCGATTTTTGCTTCTAGCATCTTATATGCACTTGTTTATCGTTGCTTAGAAATCATCTATGTAAACAATCACAGACTATCATCACTGTCTTGTCTGTATATTGTTTAATATGTTGTAATTGACATCTTTGATAATGGCTTATGTAAGCCGAAAGCTTAGATTGTATTAAAAAATATGGATCAATATTGTGAATTTTTTTCTTCGTTCAGTGATAATGTTATTAAACTTATTTAATGAAACATGTATGAACGAAAAGATGCTGCCTAAATACACAATATATATATATATATATATATATATATATATATCCTTCCACTCCAAAAATTATTTTATGGATACCCATGTTTGAGCAGATGCATTGTTTTTTTTTAATCAGTGGGAATTACATTTACCAGCCTGCAAATTTGAGAGATATAATAAGAGAATGTGCTCTCCAGCAGGGTTCAAATCTGTGCCTCCCTTTGTTGGAGAAATCACTGCCTTTAAACCACTCACATACAAAGAGCATGTTGAATTACCCTTTTTAAGAATGCACATCCTCTCATTCAAACATGGGCATCTACAACAAAACTTTGGAGTACTTTACATAACTCTCTACCTCGAATGGCTCTTGGGCCTTGTACAAGGTGAACATCATTATAATATATATGTATGAAAAATATATATATATATATATATATATATACACACACACAAGTTTTATTTATCAATTTTTTAACTTTTTGGAGAATATAACTTATTTATTAAAAGTTATTTGTATTTTTGACTCTTGTATGAAAAATAATGTGTTCATTGATTTGTTAGTATGTTTTATTCAATTATCAAATTTATGGGAATGTACTTGTTTTAAGTGTTTCTCCTAGTTTATAAATTTACAGCTTATAGTGTGTGTGTGTATATATATATATATATATATATATATATATATATATATATATATATATGACAAAGATAAACTTATCTTAACTGCTGCATTCCATCCTCATATGGACTTTAGCAAGGCAAATGATTTGCCTAGGTAAAGTTTATTGGAGGATGAAACATACTGGATAAAATAAATTTTCTTTTTGTGTTTATTATTCATATTGTCCTTTTACAGATATAGTTTTTACTTATATCTGAAATTATATACGTGTGTGTCTGTGTTTTACCTCCGAAACCAAAGTTTAAATTTAGGTTCATAGCCATCTAATTTCTCATATGATTTTCTTCACATTATATATATTTGATCATGACTGTCCACACATTCATTTTTCTTATTCTTGTCAGGATTCCTTAGATAGAAAGATACTGGAATGGTTTCCTATTGCTCTTTAAAAAAGAAAGGGAAAAGAGGGTGATTCAAGTCTCTTATTCTTCCTTAGAGGTACTAATGAAAAGACAGGACTCTTATTGAAAATGAAATGTGTAAAGAAATATTATATAGCAAAAATATTTTTATAATATACAGATTGTACAAATAATATAGACCTTGCACAAAATTTCCCTTGTATGCTTCAGACTATTAAGGAAGATCAACAATTCTTCAAAATACAACAGTTCATATAAATCAACGTTTTAGCAGCAAAAGATATTTACTCACTTTGAAAAGTTCACAAATTCAAAAGTCAAAAGGGGTGAGAAAGGATGGCCTACTTCAGGAGATGCTGATTTTATAGGTCCCTTATACAAAAAATTCAGACTTTTGGAACAGGCATTTTCAAATATTAGATAAACTCTCACAGGTTTAGAAAAGACATTTGAATGGGATAAACTTATAAATTTAGAAAAGATATCCATATATAAGATAAAATTCATGTTAGGAAATACATTTGTCATAGAGCTCTTGTGGGCTCTTAAGTGTTCTTTCTTCTTCTTCTGTAGTAGCAGCAGCAGTCTTTATCATCTGAGCTAGCATTGTCTCATGTCTGAGTGTAGTCAAATTTTTTCTTGTCCCAGAATGTTTAAACTGCCTGGCTTTATTTTGGCATTTCTTTATAAATCTGGCTTCATTTTGGTGATTTTTATAACATCAAATTGGAGCCCATTTTTTAAAGATTTTTACATCTCCATTTTTATTTATAAACTGTCTGGTTTCATTTTGGTAGTCTCTTTAAAAAAAAAAATGTTAATAACATTCTAATTTTCTTAATTAGTTTTTATACAATTTAATATCTTTTTTTATTAAAAATAATTTTTATACAATTCCAATATTTTCTTAATATTATTTTTAACAGCTTCTTGTAGTAAAATAGTCCCTGTATTAATTTTTACACCATTCCAACATTTTAATTATTTTTTCACATACAATTTTAATATCATTTTTTTTAAAGAAAATCTATATTCTCCATGATTTTGGAATTCAGACATTTTGTTACGACACAAGGCAAGAGAGCCCACTCTATTATACTGTCACTAGAAAGAGAAAAGATGAATTCATGCCTTTCCCAAGGGCATTTGTGTGAAAGTGAATGTAACAAACTAACCTGGAATTTGAGCTTTGGTTTGTCTATTTCACTTTTCCATGTCAATATCCATTTCTCTACCGACACATTCCTCTATATCTAGTAAATGTAATAGTGCTACCTGAATTTCTTAGATGATTTTCTAAGCATAGTTTAAATGTGACACAAGGCTGAAAGTATGAGGCACACAGTGAGGATCGAACTCACTACTCAGTCATAATTATTATAATGAAACAAGTTTGTTAACCATTACACCACATCAAGGTACCTTCTGAAGTTCTTCAATGACCATTTTTATTATTCGTTTTGAGTAGTTTATCATAAATCTTATTATTGTTGCTTTTTATCATAGGTTTTGGGGTGGGTTATCTGACAACTATTAAATAAGCAAAATGAATTGGAAAATAAAGGAGTATCTTTATTCTTACATATTGTGACAAAAGTATCAATAAAATATTTGTTTAGTGGCATATCAACTCCTTATGGGTCATTTACTGCTGAAATTTAATTTTCTTGGGAGCATTAGTAATTCTTTTTACAAAAATGTATTGCTGGTAGTTGTTTTTACTATGAAAATGAATTACTAGTATTTTCATTATAAAAATACATTTTGACCCCAATTTGGGGGTTAACTATTTATTTGTCCATAGTAGGGACCCTAACAGGTTTCTAGTACCCTGAGTCAGGGTGGACTTGAGAACAATAGCAATTAAGAGGTAGTTCCATGCTCCTTAAAACCTCCAATCTCCTGATAAAAGACCTTGCTGCTGGATGTAGTTTATTGTTATAACCAGGAAAAAACAAAATGAAAGAGAAACTAATCTAAATAAATATTCATCAAAAAGAAATTACTGACAAAAGAAAAAAAAATGTTTTATCATTGCCATTTAAAATTTTCTTGTCATGTGATACCTAGTTAAATGTTTTTTTTTTCTCTTTTCTTAGGCATTTTTGATTGCATTTACATCAGAATTTCTTCCTAGAATGCTGTACCAATATAAATATGAATGGAACTTAAAAGGATACACAAACTTTACTTTGGCATATGCACCAAATGGGACGCTCTCTCAAGAATGCAGGTAATGTGTTTTGAAACAAAATTTTTTCTGCTTGCCATGACAAGATAAGAGGGAATCCAAATTCTGTTTGTAATGTTTCAGATTTTCAATCTGCTGATGCGTTTTTTTGTTTTTATTACTGCAGATATTTGGCATTTCGGGATCGAGAAGGGAATTATACAAAATTCTTCTGGCAATTGTTAGTTGTCAGACTTTCATTTGTCATCATCTTTGAGGTGAGTTCTAATCTTTAGCCTTGTATAAGCCAGAGCAACTCTGACTTCTAGTTTCTAAGATAAAATTGTTTTCAAAACCTACGCAAATATCAATTCTCTTGTGAGGCTTTAGAATCCTATAAAGTGTCGCATTCTACAATTTAGATTTCTTTACACTTGCAGTTGTAATGGATCTAAAACAAATAGCTGTAATTTTTTTACTATAATCATGGTTTTAAAATGTTTTAAGTTTTAAATTGAAATATTTTTATTACTCATTTTTTAATCATTTCACTCTAAGCAAGGCAATAAAACCCCTAAGATGCAAGGTTTACTGAGAGTGAAGAAAATGTTACTGAGGAGAGAAGGACAATAAATGCAAAAGTGTAAAGAAATTGTGAGACAGAAAAATTTACTTGGCTCTGGGGTGGGTTATAAAATGTTATTAGGACTTTAAAAGTGGATATATTAAAAGTATATATAAATACACAACAAAAATATATAAAACAAAGTGGGAGGGAGAGCAAGGATTAGAACAGAAATTACTCATTGTAAAGTGGTGGAGTAAAAAAAAAATAAAAACTAAAAAGGGCTCACCAGTTACCACTCCTCACTCTTCAGAGCCAATTAAGGATAAAAAAACATATTTCTAGTTAGCTTTTTTTTTGGTGGGGGAGGTGTTAATCCACCACTTTACAGTAATTTTCTTTTCCTTATCCTTCCCCCGCCCATCTTTTAGTTTTCTATATTTGTGTATATATTTACATACACTTTTTTCAAAATCTGTTTTTAAAGCACTAATAAATAACAAATTATTTATATTCTTATCAATTTATACTTAATGGGAAGTCTAATTTCTTTGTTACTAACGATATAAAAAAACAGTATTTGTGAGGAATTGTTTGTTACTGATCTTATTCTTCTTGTTGAATATCTGGTGAGTAGATAGATTCTCTTACTCTAAAAACTAGCCATCATCAACAGTCCATGACTGAGTGCGGTTGTACAGTTGCTGTGCAACCGAGCACTTCACCAGATCCCGCTTCATGTCTCAGTTGTTTGCCAATATCTGGGCTAAAAGTTGGAGAGGTATTCATTTATGTGTACCATGTTTTGGGAAAGTAGACCTGGTGGAGCCACGTCCTCACTTTCTCAAACCACAGTTGATGTCCTCCAACTTGAAGCCTCAACATGGTCACAGGCATATATCTGTTAATTCCATTGAGTAGGGGTGACCCTTAGCCATGGTCATTGACTTTAACCTAGAAAGCCTCTGCCTAGCAATGCTGTGTCATCACTTCCCTGGATATACTATCAGTAGTTTAGTCTCATGTGCAGATTATGTCAAAACTTGCTGTAGCCACCATCTCTCAACTGAACTCACCACTGGTAAGAACTCTTGAATCACTAACACATGGATATACTGACATATTTTGGTGACAAAAGTAATGACTAAGTGGTATTTTATTCTTTTGCTGTTGCAGTATAGCAAATAAAGGACACTTCCAAATAAACAATAAAAATAAACCTCTCACTTTTCCATATGGATTCTATATCCTGAGGAAGGCCATAAAATGGACCGGGCAAAATATATAATGGTAAAAAAAAACAAGATCCAAACAGGATTGAAAATGACTTCCCTCAATATTAAAGAAACAAATTCCCTGTAGATTACCCAGATTGACATAATGCCTGATGAAGGCCAGCAGGCACAACAACCGAAATGTTGCAAAAACATCCCAGAAATTCTTTTTTGTTGCTGCTCTCAGTTTCAAAATGTAAGCCTCTCTACCATTTATTTTTGCAGCATGTTGTATTCAGTACATGTCACCTGATCGATTTTGCTGTCCCTGATGTTCCTGAAAGTCTTGAATTAAAGATCAAAAGAGAACGCTACTTGGCTAAACAGGCTTTGGCAGATACAGAAGGACTCATCACGGTAAGACACGTTTAATTCCAAGGGTTATCAATTACTGATTAATTCACTTTGGAGAAGGAAAACATTTTCAACTCTAATATCAAATGCTACTTTCAAAATTATAACATACCTACACATGTATAAATATTTACTTTTGGTTTTTGTAATTGATTATTAACACTTCTGCTGCTTTGGACATACTTATGTCTTTACAAAACTTACATTGCTTGCTGTTGACACACACACACATATATATATATATATATATATATATATGTGTGTGTGTGTTTGAGAATCTGTGAAATGTTGGTCACATTGTTATTTCTCAACCAGTGTAAACATATATTAGCATACAATATGACCTGTTTTGTGATGTATTTTATGTTAGTGTGGGAGGGGGGTTATCTCAGTTTGTACTGCAAAGGATGTGATTAAAATACCAGCACACAAGAGAAATCTGTTGTCAGCAGCCTTATAGTCTTTTACCTCCAATAAATGGCAATTTTTGATTAAAAAAAAAAAAAAAGATTTCAAAATTATTATATTTATTATTTCCAAGATGCAATAGAAATTTGAGCATCTGCTCGTTTCCTATATGTTTTCGGTATTTCCTTGTTTCCTACATCGGTAATTTCTGTGCCACGATGTAATCATGAGTGAATGAAAGTTTTAATGTTTCTTTATTACAGGGTGTCCATAAAATCCATGTGCAATTTAAAATAATTGTAGCTTTGTTTCTATCATGTATAGTTAGAATTTGTAAAAAGGGGGTGAGAAGGCTTTGATATGTCTAGCTTTTCTTGTCTTCAGAAAATATATTTATTATTTTACTAGTATTTTTTTTCTCAATTTTTGAAGGGTACATTGTAAATGGTGATCACTATATAGAAATGTTGCAAAATTAAGCTTGACCAATTAGAACTGACAAGAGGATACAGTGTTTCAACAAGATGTTGTGCCTTGTCACTTTTCTCTGCAAGTTATGGAATTTTTCTTTTAGAAACTGCATAATGGGTGGATTGGTAGAGATGGACCATTATTTTGGCCTCCATGATCACCAGATTTGACTCTATTGAATTTCTTTTTATGAGGACATGTAAAAAGTAATGTTCATTCACCTAAATTTTGATCTTTAGAGGAATTGTAAGCTAGGATAATGGATGTGATTAAAGGTATTATTGAAAATCAGCTGCAAAATGTTTCCCCAACAACTACAGAATCATTTAATCATTTGTGTAACATTGGTGGACAGGTTAAAAATTAACAATTCCAATAATAAATTGAAATACTACTTTCTTATCCTTTTTACAGATTGTTTGTATCATGTATAGTTATAAAGCTACAAGTATTTTAAATTGGACACCCTGTATATCCTAGCTTTGATATTGTGATTACATAAGCAGCAGGTTATCAAATGACAGGCTAATCTTAATGATGTTACAGCTTTAATTTTCAGTTGTCAATCCTGGTAGCAATTTAATATTAAAGTCATAAAAAGGATTTGCATTCATTATCCACTTTGCACTATTTAATCCATAGTTGGGGAGGATGGTCATTGACTCTGAGGAGTTCATCCACCCTTTTAACAGCTTTTGTTTTAGTTCAACTTGCCCTCCTTACTAGACCAAGGACTGGTAGGGGAGCCAGTTTAGTCATCGACAACTTGTGTTTTGAATTCAGAGTTGTCTTCTCCTAGACTAGTTGCTACCCAAGGGTATAGAACACTGTCTCTCCTGCTATTTATCCATAACTGAGAAGAGAAGTGATGGAATGGATCCATACTTTATCATTAAAAAAAAAAAAAAATGGAGGATTACTGCCAGATTTTGAATGGAGCTGCTTAATCATAACTTTCCAGTCTTAATAGAGTTCAACTTATGGCCACATCACGTTGAAACATTGGTACCCATATGAGCACCGAAATTAAGCAATGTCAAGCCTGGTGAGTACCTCCATTGGTGACCACTTGGGAATACCAGGTGCTGTAACCTTGGATGAGCAGGTCTAATGGATAAAGGCTCAGAATTGTTCATTGGAAAGCCAAGTTCCAATTCCAGTCAGGTTCATTATGTTCACTTATGTGCAAATACCCTTGGGAAAAGGTATGAATTCACTTCTCTCTCCAGCTAGGGGTTAACCAGTAAGATTTTTATCACTAAATCATTATCTAAAAAAAAAAAAAAAAATTCTTACAATGTAAAAATATTTTCTGGCTTTAAATCACCTGCAACAGGGTTGATAAACCATAGAAAATCAATCAGGTTCAAAATTGTTTATGTGGTCTTGTGAGGGAGAATTATATTCCACTCTGTAATCTCTTCCCTGCAGACATTACAAGCCAGTTCCTTTTTAAAGTCTTTTTTTTATGTGCCTTAATAGCATTATTGCCTTCCTTGGGTGAAATGATTTAAAAAAAAAAAAAAAAATCATACAGTTCACTAATGATAATCATTTTAACACCCTTTGAGCTTGAATAGCACACAAGCTTTGTATTGGTTGAATTTTACTATACGTATAGCTAGTATGCAGTTTAGTCATCGACAACTCGTGTTTTGACTTCAGTGTTATCTTCTCTTAGACTGGTTACCACCCAAGGGTATAGAACACAGTCTCTCTTGCTATTTACCCATTACTGGAGGGAGAAGAGATGGATTTATACCTCTGTCAGTTATCTTCTGCATAATCTAATTTTTGCTAAAAAAAAAAAAATTTAGATTATTAACACTTCTGCTGCTGTGAATGTATATGTCTTTATGAAACTTACAACATCACCTGCTGATGATGCATATATAGGTTTTCAAGACACCACAAAATGTTGGCCACTAGCATTTGTGTTATAAACTAAATTAGTACTATTTCCAAACTACTGTAGCAGTACAATCTGTTTTCTGACATTTTTATTGTATTTTGTGTCGGAGGTGTCATTTAGCTTTGCCTATAATGCAGAGCACCCTATCAAAACCAAAATGGCAGTGTCCAGGAGAAATCTACCATTAGTATCTTTATAGTCATTTATTTACAGTAAATGGTGTAGCAATACTATTTCTTACATAGATTGATTTTTAAATCAATTCAATGACCAGGGTTTTTCAGGAATCTTGTCTCTAAGCCCACCTTTCAGTTGTTGAACATAAAATTTTGTTAGTATTTTTACATAGTCGTAAAAGTAGGAAAAACTGACCACCCAAAACCAGTCTAGGTGATCCCCCTTTCCAATTGGTGGTACATGAGTGGACGGAAAGGGGTTGGGGTCCCCCAGCCAATATCCATATAATAAATCAGTGAGTGAAATGGCCAGGCAGTGAGTATGTACAGGTTTGATTTCCATGGCCAGAAATTAGTGAGAAGTCAGTTAGAAAAAGTTTGCTTTCTCATAGAAGGAAGACATTGCTAATTATGTGAAAAACTGTATTTTTTTTTTTTTTTTTTCGGGAAGTAGCAAAAAAAAAAAAAAAAATTTTCACTCAAAAATTGTTTTTACATGTATTTTTCTTTGAAGTAATTTCTTCTGGCCTTCAATGTTTTTTGAATGTAAAATTTTCCAAGCTTTCTTTCTTCATGTGTCCCAGAAAGTTCAACTGCTTTTTTTTTTTTGACTGTAAATATAAGTTTCTCTTTTCCTTAAAGCTTCCCCATTACTTATATGCTCTATCTATGGTATTCTCAGCAACCTTCTGTAGAACATTTGTTGTATCAAGTCTTTTCTTCTGTGAGTAAATTCACATTCACTCCAATATAGGATGATTACTATTACATGGCAGTTTAGTAATCTTTTCTCTGCTTCTAACAAAATTTTCCTGTTTGTTAATACATGGATTAGCTTTTGGAAGGCAACTTTTGCTATCACAGTGCACCTTTAGATTTTGGTGTTATATTTTCCATCCTCTGTTAAAATACTTCCTAGATATTTAAACTTCTGTACTGGTTTGATTTTGGCATCTCCAATTTGTAGCTTGCATCTTGGGCTGTTTCTCTTGCTGACAAACATTCATTCTGTTGTTAGTCATTTCTTCTTGCTTTCTTTTACTACCTTGTCTAGATCTTGCTGATGGTAGACACAGAAAGCAATGTTATCTAATTGTGTCCACTGATAATAAATCCTGTTAGGGTCTCTAACCCTTAGGACATCTTCAGTGTAGGGGTTGAATAAATCTGGTGAAAAGATACATCCTTGTTTTACACGCCTTTCTATCAGTATGCAGGCGGTTTGCTTAATATTTTAATTCTAAACACTTGTGCCCATGATTGCTAAATGTCAATGTTATTAAACGCAGTAAGATGGATTACTTTCATTTTCATATTAATTTCTCTTACAGATGGTCAATGACGAGGACATTGAACCAGGAAATCTGGATGCCGTCAATAACCAAAAAACAACCCACTAAGAAAGCTCATAAGGGAGATAACTCTCTAGTTCTGCATATTTCTCCATCTGCCTGTGTCTTTCCTTAAACAATGGAAAATGAAAGGAGACAGTTTAGAGAAAGGGCTCTGAATGAACACTCACTGCACCATTCACAAATATTTCTTCTTTTCCTCCACTTTGTGCAACAACAGCCGAATCATTACACTTTAACTTATGTTTCATTTTTGCACCAATCTGCTCAGGAGATGAGACACAACTCCACAAAACTGATAATGAAAGATAAATCTACATTAGATATTAGTTAATGAATACATAATGTTTCTTTTAAAGTGGTTAATAAATATCTGATATTATCACTTGATAAACAGTAAAAGATTTTTTTTTTTTTTAAACTAATTTCTACTGCAAAAGGATCATTTATTAAAAGGCCAACAATAATTTTTTTTAATTGATACTCATAAATTCAATAATTTCCTTTTAAAAGTATGAATTTTCATATTTTTTTTTCTTCACCTCCCCTACCACAGGGGAAGATTTGATTTGGCATGTTACTTCTTGGTAGTGACTTTCAACATTATTAGTCTTTGTAGTAACTAATATATATATATATATATATATATATATATATATATATATATAATATAATTAATGGTTTCTAATTGCTTATGCTAAGTTATTTCAGATTTTTAATTGTAAGCATGCAGAGGAAATAAATCAGTGATGTCAATTGGGATTAGATGGCATAAATTTTTCTTTTTTTTTAGTTAAACGGCCAAAAAACTTTACATTTTTAGAAATCACCTGAAATCAGGTTTGATATCTACCCTAATTGACACTTTTTTGAAAATCATGTGCAGAGAAGCATGATTTCAAGAATTTCGTACTGAGCTTGCAGTATGAAAATAATTTTTATGACGATATCAGCAGTAAATATTAGAGATGCTCAAATTTTTAAAATTTAATTCTATATTTAAAATTTACCAAAATTCAGTAAAACAGAAAAAAAAGGCTGCCCTGCACCAATATGACTGCTCTCTTTTTTAATCTAACTCATTATCTATACACACCCTGTTTTCATTAATATTTGATTGTGTATGACTGAATACCAGATTGCATTTTTTTCTTTTTAATCCTTGCCAAAAGCATTTTCTCTAAATCAAAATATTAAGAAAAAAAATATCTGCTGAAGGAATTAAACCCCACCCTGTCAAATCCCAATTTTGATGATGTTTCATTGGAAAGAATCATCCTCGCCCCTGTCAAATCCTACTTTTGATGCCATTTCATCGTGATGAGCAGTGAAATGACTTAAAATTGTGTGAATACCATTACTTAAAATTCAATTTCCTTCATGGATGATTGTTGTCACTTGTTAAAAGGCAAAATTGAATTTTTTTTCTTTCTTCTTCTCTACAGTGTCCTAAATTCTCAATATTTAGGTCTTTTACTTAGATTTCGACTCTTGTCAGTAAATAAAATGAACTTGAGAGAAATCTGAATAGACGACTACATGACAACTATTGCAGCTAATTAAATTCTCTTATAAACTCAAATCAATTTTTGACAAGTTCACCTAAACCTTTTAATTATGATTTGGTTTTCTTCCTCTTGTCATTTTATACCCATCATATTTGACAGCAGTGATAAGCCTGGATGTAACATTATACATTGGTTTTTGACCACCCCCACTTATGTATATAAATATATATGAATTGTATTCAAGTGGGTTCCATTCAGCTTGCTTATTTTATACTGTTATAAAAATGGTATTAAGTCATCAGGAAAATAGTGTTGCTTCCTGCAATTATTCCAATTTTAAATACCTATGGGTATAGAACGATTAAAATAAAATCATAGTAAGTGGCTGTTAACTTGAGATTTAACAGAACATGGATAGGGAAAGAGGAAAAGAAAAAAAACTAGCATGTGATATTGGCTAAGAAACTTAAAATTCATTCATTTTTTTTTATTTTTTTTTTTTTTTTTTTTGAATTCCATAAAGCTTTATCCTCACATTTGTCCCATTTTCTGGCAAGGTAAAATATTGGCATATACAAATTTTAAACAAAACTATCTTTCTTATTTCATACTGAAGATAAAAAAATTTGAAAGCAGACTGACTGAAATCATTTATCATTACATTACCAAAATTCTTACATCTTTTTAAATCTAAGCTTTTATTGGTATAAGCCCAAACTGAGTGTGTCTGTGTGTGTGTGTATATATATATATAACTGAAAACAAATCACAAACTGAATTTACTATGCATATATCTTAATGAAGAATCTATCTTGTATGTTCTATACAAATATTTAAGAGTAAATTCAAAAGTTTGGATTTCATTTCAAAAGGAATGTGGAAAGCCACTTTTAAAACTTATATATATATAAAATATCAAATAATTCAATTAAGGTTGTTAACAAACACTAAGTAGCTGGACATTCACTTTGGTGGGAAGAGATTTATTAAACTAGACTATAAACTTTATTTCATGGTTAACAGCCATTCTACTTTACTTTCCTTAATACAGAACCAGAAAATGAACAAATAAAATAAATCTTATATTTTTGTTATATATTTATGCATACAAAGGCAAATATTTATGGAAAAGGGAAAAAATGGTTTGATTTTACAGATTGTTGAACTGTAATGCTTACACACAATTTATTTTTGTTTTCTTTTTCTTCAGACACAGGAGCATGTATTCTTAAAAATATTTTTTGTGGGCTTTCCAATATTTCCTTATCTGTTATTGTTTTCTGTGTAAGTGTTTCTATTCTGTAACGCAATAAATTTTACAAAGAAGAATTCAGTCTTTGTCTTCATATTTACAAATGCACAAACTCTGAAGTTTTTACAGGAATTGTAATGTTGTATACTATTTGTGTTAAAAACTATGCAACTGGTAGACATTTTAGGAAAATATTTAAGAGAAAGAACTGATTATCCTCCATTTTGATTTTTTTTAAAAAGCCATTAATGGATAAATAAATTCTAATGACATTTTACATTTTCATCAAGTTGATGTATATTTAACATTTTTTAATATGAAAAGTTAGGGAGGAGAATAAACATTTGATGAAAATTCTCAAAAGAAAAAAAATACTTGGTGCTATTTTTTTCTTTTAATGCATGTTCAGAGAAATAACTTTGAGAAGTTTTCTATCTAAAATAAGCATTTCTAAACTTCCTGCTGTCAAAGTTTTCTGACCCCCACATAACTGATTTTGTCAACATTGTGACCAGAATTCTCTGCAACTTCAAACTTGTTTCTTGAATTAGAAATAAGTTTTGTTTTCTTTAAAATGGACACACACATAAAAATGAAGCAAAACAATTGCAATAGTTAAAATTGTTTTATAGATCAGCAATAACACTTGAACTGTTTATCAATGGCGTGACAGAAGATGTCTAGAGCAGGTGGCATTAATAAGAGCACATTCACTCTCACATTATCAATTATTTTTTTTTCTTTTCCTTACATACATATTTGGTCAATCTCTATAGTAACAAATTTATATTCCAATAAAAATATAGTTATGAAACTTCTGTTGGTACAGGGATTAGTTGAAATAATTTTCTATCAGAAGTTAAAAAAAAAAAAAAAATTGACAGGCAATCAGTATTTAGCAAAAAGAAAGGTCTAAGTTCAATTCCCAATATATCCCCCCCACAACCCAAAAAGAAAAAAAAAAGTTGTATCTTTCCATTTTTTTTTTTTTTTTTTTTTTTTTTTAAGTTTTGATAAGGAGTCAAAAATAGAAGTAAACTTCCCATCTGCAAATGTAAAGATACAATGAGATTCTCATTCTGTAGAAAATAAAAGAATATCTTGGATTCAGCTCTGAGGTTGTTAGTTTTATAATAGAAATGAATTTTATTTAACTCAGCCCCTGGGGCTGCAAGAGAAGAATTAAAAAAAAAAAAAAAATGAAAGCTAGCAAAATATTCTCTGCAATACTTTTATGAGGTCAGCGTCAGAAGAAAAAAAAAAAAGAAGTTAAACCAAGCCTCCGGAAAGGAGTCAAAATCTCCAAATTGGTCAGTTTAATCTTTAGGGGAGTTCAATTTTTACCATTCATTCCCTCACTTCAAAATGAATAGTTTTTAACACTGTTGAGGTACAAACTGCTGCTAATAATAATAATAATAATAAACAGAATTAGTGTAAAATAAATGGGGAGGGGGAAAACAAGGCAAAAAGAAAAAAAAAAAAAAAATCAGGGTTTTCAAATAACTTTAATTAAAAAGAGAAATTAACTCTTTCTTCAAAAACAACAGAAAATATATATATGATAGAGGTAAAGGGAAGAATAGCATCTTAACAGAATGAGAGTCCACATCATCTGTGGACCCAAATAACAATTAACACCCTGACTGATGTCAACAGCAATAACAAATTCATGGTAGGTGTACCAAGCCTAAAGAATGAAAATATTGTAAAAAAATAGTTTTGATCCGTAAAAATACAAGAGGAAAGAATCAAAAACTAATAATTCCAATGACTGGAATTAGGATTAACTTTAGGCTGATTTGGGTTTTTTTTGGTTTTTCTAACGAGTATTCAGTAACAGTCTTATAAAATCTTAAAATTTATGAGAGTTTCTTGAAATTTTTGTTAAATATTTTCAACTTCACTTTAAATTTCTGGTTACAAATCTGGTTTTTACAGAGGCACTATATTTGTGGTGAGAAAAAGGTTGTTTTTATATATATATATATATATATATATATTCCAATATTTTGAAGTGAAACTCATCCCATTTTTTATACTGTCATTACAATACTTTTCTTTCTTTATTTAGTTTAGGCAGATTATGACAGATTTTTGTTTTCTTAAAAACTTATAAAGATGAATTTGGCAGAATTATGGAAAGGAGATTTGAAAAAAAAAAAAACTTAATTAATGGAGAGTGTGGGGGGGGAGCAGGTTGTAAAATTATTTGAGAACAAAAAATCCCCAATAAGTCACTATAGAGGCACATTTAAATACATCAATTGTTATAGCATCAACATATA